AAAGTGGTACAGGGCAATATTTGAAAATATAAAAGTTGAGATTTTTCTGAAATTGATGAAGGATGTCCAGTTGGAGTCTAGGATCTCTGTGAACTCCACTTGTTGTTGTTATGTGCCATCAAGTCGGACCGACTCGACCCCTCCTTGGGTTTCTGAGGCAGTATCACTACGGAAGTAAATTGCCCATACAAAGAAAATCACACTGAGGCCCAATGAAGTGTAACTGCTGAAACCAAATACAAAGAGAAAACCTTAGAAGCAGTCAAAGAGGGGAAAAAACAAGAGAATATTCTCAAAGAAGCAAGAATAAGACAGAGATTGCCAAAATTGTTAAAAAGCTGACAGGATTTAAAAAAAAAGAAGGAAAAATGTAGGTCCCTTGACAGTAGATCTCTAGAGCTGTTGTTAACTAAGCAGTAAATGTCTTTACATAATCCATAGCATAGTAAATTAGATATTCTTGTAGCAGAAACTTTTCCTGATAGAATGTCTAATAGGAATTCAAGAACAGATGGCTTAAGATAAATCTGAAAGGCTACTAAAGCGAAGACTGTATACCTATTAAGGAATAAAAACTGGAATCAATAGAAAAAATTCAGTAGCTATAAAACTTTGATACCCAGGCAGAATAGTACAAAGAAAGAAAATTATAGGCCAATTTCACCTAGAAATATATATGCAAAGATATTAAAATATAAGACTTGAATTTAGCAGTATGTGTGTGTGTGTGTGTGTATGTTGTATATAATAAAGCTCTGTAATTAAGACATGGTGATGCTAGCATTAAGAATAGACAAATAGATCAATAGGACAAGTCAGTGAATTCCCAATACAGAATGATACACTTAGGAAAACTTGATATGATAGCATTATAAATTACTATGGAATAGACTACACAATAAATGCTGCTGGGACAATCAGTTATTAATTTTTTTTTCAATTAAGATTCTCTACATTGGTAGAACATTTAAAAGAAATAGAAGAATTTTTCTGATCTGAGATAGAAAGGATTTCTTAAAACACAAAAAAATCACAAACAATAAGACAAGACAATTTTGGCTATATAAAAATAAAAACCTGTGTACAACAAAAATGAACGTAGACAAATACAAACAGTGAAAAGGCAGGCCCAGTCTGAGCCTATATGACTATGAGAACCAGAAGAACAAGATGATGCCCGGCTACCACTGTCAACTACTCAGAGGGGGATCTATGTAAGAGATCCTGGATAGGGTGGGAGAACAATGTGGAACAAAATTCAAAATTATTTGGGAAAAAAAGGAGGGGGAGACCAAGTTTGCTGGTCTGATAGAGCCTGATGGAATCACTGAGACTATGTCCCCTAGCTGCTCTTCAGGTCTAGAATTGAACCCATACCTGTGGCTTCCAGCCAAACAAAAGACAGGCATATGAGGTGAACATTTACACCAGACAGATACACTCCTTGGAGAGAACAATCATGGGAGAAAGAAGGGCTGTTTATGCACAAGGAGACAGCTCAGGAAGCAGGAGTTCATGGAGGGATGGACACAGGGAAGAGGTAACTATGGGGGTTGCATTATGGTAAATTGTAGTCAATGTCATGAGACAAAGTGTATGTGAACTGCTATATAGAAAGTGAATTTGCTCTGTAAACTTTCACCCAAATCACAATTAAAAAAAAAAAAAAAAAAAGAGAGAGAGAGAGGCCCAGTCTGAAAGGTAGCAATAAAAGGATTAGTATCAACCACAAAGCACTCCTACAAATTGAAAAAGATGAAGACAATTAAAAAAAGTGGGCAAAGTTATCAATAGAAAACACTCAAAGGGCTAGTAAATACTCAAAAACATGTTTGTAGTCTTAGGACTAATCAAGAAAGTACAAATTAAAGATGAAATAACATGTCACATCATTTTCAGCAAATACAGTTCTAAAAAATAACATTATCAAATGTTGGTGAGGATGTGAAGAAACACAATACTTTGTTAGCTGAAATGTTAATTAGTATACAACCACTTTGAAGAGCAACTTGGCAATACTCAGTACTGTACATGAAGATAAGCATACCTTTCCACTACGCAATTCCGTACCAGTAACACATTAGAAGAGTCTCTGGGTGGTGAAAAGGGTTGAGCACTCGACTACCTACCAACTGTTGACTATTTAAACCCAACCAGAGATGCTGTGGAAGAAAGGCCCGTTGATCTATTTCTGAAAGATCACAGCAAATGAAAATGCTACAGAGCACAGTTCTACTCTGACACACATGGAGTTACCATTAATCAAAATCAAGTCAATGGCAACTGCCTTGGTTTTTAACCTCTTAGAAAACCTTTTGAGAAGGCAAAAGGATGTTCACTGCAGCACTGTTTTTAATATTAAAAACAAAAAACTGATAATCTAATAGTCACCAACAGAATAAAAACTGTAAGAGACAATGTATTTTTATATAATAATCTACAACAATTACAATGAACTAAAAAGATTATAGCCTATAAAACCCTTTGGAGCAGTTACTGTCACATGGGTGAATCTGAGCCAAAATTAACTCAACAGCACCTAACAATAACAACAACACAGCTATTTCCTACTCAGGAATCCCTGGGTGGTACAAACAGTTAATTGTTCCCTTCCTAGCTGAGGTTGTTCGAACCCACCCAGAAGCACAGGCCAGGTGATCTGCTTCTGAAAGGTCACAGCCTTGAAAACCCTATGAACTCTACTCTGCGTGCACGGGGTCACCATGAGTCAGAATCAAATCAACAGAAACGTAGCTACACCTATCAACAGGATAAATCTCAAAAGACATACTATATAATGGACAAAGCATTTTGCAAAATGCAAAATAATACAGTTTTAAGGTACACTCACTCCTCATTTACTGATGTGGTTAGGGACCAAAGACCAGGTCATCGTGTGAAAATCAGTGTTATGTGAAAATGGAAGATGACCACAACAGATCACAAAGTGGAGGATGACTACATCATTACGTAATTGCCAAATTTTATCATTACATAACTGTCAAACCACTGAGAATCACAGCACAGCCAAGTGGACACATAACTTTAAACATCACAGCCAATATTACTCTCACATTGCACTGGTTACTGCCAGACATATGTCATTAATCCCCAAAATAGTTTGACAGATTTTTTTACTATTGTCGTAAATATGAAATGTTAGATAATGAGATAGTCGATAAGTAAAGAGTAGATGTACTTAGTTTAGAAACATACCAAACAATAATAAACATACAATGTGTACACAAACCTAAGAACTAAAGAGTAAAATCATTAGTGGGTACAATAAACACCAAATAGGGACAGCAATTACTACGGGAAAGAAAAAAATGAGAGGATTTAACTGTCTAATTTTAATTTTTTAAAAAAACTTGAGAAAATATGGCAAAATGTTGATATTCTTAAAGCTGGCTGGTGAATAAACAAGTGTTAATTATCTTATCCTTTATAGGTTGTTAACATAAAGGCTGGAGGTTCCAGTATAATCTACTTTTGAAAACTCAGCCATTGAAAATCCTACTCACTGCCATCGCGTCGGTTCCGATTTATGGCGGAGTATATTGCCCAATCTTTCTTCCGAGGAGTGCTGGTGTGTTTGAACCGCCAGCCTCCCCGTTAGCAGTCAAATACCTTAAGCACTACGCCACCACAGCTCCTTATGGAATACGATTCTACTATGAAACACATGGGGTCGCCATTAATCAAAATCCACTCAACTGTAACGTTATTGCTTACAGATCTCTATTTTTAAAGCAACCAAAAAAGTTTACACACAACTTTAACAGATGCAAGGGTAAAACCACTCTCCAAAAGAGCAGTCCAAATTTTTAAAAAAGTCTGAGTCACTCACTAAAAAGGTAGCAGAGAGTGTCACCTCAGCATAAAAGCGTAATTAAAGCTTACTACTTGTTAAGTAAGGAGCTTTGGTAGCATAGTGGCTAAGGCACTTGCCTGCTCACCAGAAGGCTGGCGGTTCAAACCCACCAGCCACTCCTCGGAAGGAAGGTTGGGCAATCCTACTTCCGTAGTGATACTGCCTCGGAAACCCAAGGAGGGATCGCTATGAGTCAGGGCTGACTCGACGGCACATAACAACAACAACAACAACTTGTTAAGCATCTGTCAGTTTTAAAATTAGTGAATGTTCAAGCATTGTTTAAATTAAAAAATTACTAGAATTTAGAACACAACAAAAACACATTTCAGTATGTTGGGGATTTTTATGTTAGAAAATCCTACTGACATTAAAGTTTTATCTGAAGTAAGATGTCCAGATCTATTCAATACAAATCACACAAGACCTTGAAATTCTTCTGTGTAAACTTTAACCTTTTGTGAGTTGCAGATACTGATAAAAACAAAACAAAACAAAAAATAGGCTCTAGAAAAAATACACACACAATTGTGCACAAAGGCTACCCAGCCGTAAACCTCAAATTTCTGCTTTAAGTTGCTTTTCCAAAATCTCGATCTGAAACATTAACTGAGTTATGCTGGGGGGAAAAAAAAAAAAAAACCGTAAAGCGCAAACGTTTAGCTTCCAGTTGCGTAAAAATGACCTTTTGGGCTTTCACCAACTTCTCTAGCGATTGTTAAAAGCTTTTACAAGACTTTGCTCTCTATTGAAGCCGGGGGCTGGGCAAATGCCGCTCTCTATTCTGCAAAGTCTAAAGCTTAAAGCAGGCTCAACCAGTTCTGTCAAGGTGTTCCGCAAACAGAGGAGTGGGAAGCCGTCCCCTTTCTTCCAGACTCCGGGACTCAGGGAGGCAGGCACCCGGGAGTTCCCCCGAAAAATGCCACAGCCAAGTGTCGCTTGGTCCGGAACAGCAATCAAACAACGAAATTTACCTTGTCTGCACCCGTATCCCACCTCGACTTTCCCGAAGTTGGGGGCTGGCTGAGCGGGGGAGGGAATACCATCCAACGGCCTCAACCGCCTCCTGTCAAGTCCCCAAGCTCTGGCCCCACAAAACTCGCAGCCTGAAGAATCTCACACTCACTGGAAAGTGGGGCCGGGTCCCGGGCCCGGCCCGGCCCCCGGAATTCGGCGGGTCTCCCAGGGTTTGGGGGGAGGCGGCGGCTGGGACGCCATCTCCTTCACTTCCACTCGGCTCCAGCTCGGCGCCTCTACAGTCCAAGGCCCAGGTCCACAAACGCTGCACACTCCAGGCACAATGGGCAGAACGCCGACCCCTCCACCCCGCCCACTTCTGCAGTCAGGACAAGGCTAGTGGTGCTTAGCTAGCTGCAACCAGAGGGCAAGAGGATGATACCAATCCAAGGAAGAAACGCTCTCTTTTTCTTTTTTCTACAAAGAGTTTCCATTGTAAACCTCAGTGTAAGGGCTCATCGATATTTCTGGCAGCGGCTATTATGGCCTAGACACCGAAGTCTCGCTGAGGTTGTTCCGGGGCCAGAACTCCTCAGGCCGGAGGAGTAAGGTCCGATTCCATGCCACAGCCATAGGGATAGTGGGATGTGTTAAGAAAGGCCAGGCTGTTTAACAGACAGCCCTTCAAACAGAAGGGTAGGATTCATTCAGTCCTCGCAAAGGGGGCTGGTACTTTGGTTCTAAAGCACTCGTTTCCTGGGGGGAATAGAATTGCTAGACATAGGTGCGTTGTCTTTAATCTTCCCCATTCCTTTTGAGGGGCGGAAGGGGTTAAATCTCTGCCTTTGATGTAGTTAGTGGGAGAGGTGAGGTAGGGAAGGTCTGAAGTGCGGCTCCGGACTGAGTACAGACAGGTGTGGATGGAGAGGGTCGTTTCCTTCTTGTTGGAGCGGCTTTGTTAGCAAGGAGAGGGTGAGTGGGAAGTTTCTTGGACTTGACCGAAGGGGGGAAGGGGTTGCTTGACAAAAAGAAAATTCGAGGTTAGACCTTGGTATGAACTTTCTTAGAGTCCAGAGTAATTTCTACAGCTGAATGTATTGACAGCCCAATGAACTTGTGAGCGCTTCCTTCTCTGGAAACTTACATCCCCCACCCCACGGGACGAATGACATCCTTCTGTATGGGAAGGAGTTTTAAAAGATCTTAAGGTTTGGACATAGTCTTGTTCATTTTGGTGGTCCCTGCTCTTTCCTTTGCAATGAATCGTTTCTGTTGTAATCGTCCAAGAAAGTGAAAAAGTCCATCATCTCTAGAACACGAGAGACCGGGCTAGTTATCGTTGGCTTGCGGAGGAATCCTTACACGTGGGAGGTTTTGTTGCAATGACTTGTTCCGGAGGTTTTTTATTTATTTATTTTCCCTTTCCCTTGTAAAACAATCACGTCAACGAAATAAAAAAGTTGAACAAAGATAGCCAACAGTAAAACAAAAACAAAAACAAAAAAACTTACAGGGTAGGATGCATTTCTCAGGGCTTGCTTTCAAAGATAATAAAGCTGATACGAAACAACTGATTTCTGGTATGTTAAGAAACTCTTATCACTTCCGAGCTGTACGTCAAGGTAAAACAACTACTCTTAAAACAAAACCTATTTCCTCCTTCGCTGGTAGCGTAGTGCCTAAGGCTCTTGACTGCTAACCAGAAGGCTGGCTGGTTCAAAACCATCAGCCACTCCTCGGAAGGAAGACGGAGCAATCTACTTCCGTAGTGATACTGCCTGGGAAACCCAAGGAGGGGTCGCTATGAGTCGGCCTGACTGGACCGCACATAACAACAACAATAACAAAAACAATGTTAACATAGGAGCCTCTGGTAGCATAGTGCCTAAGGCACTTGACTGCTACCCAGAAGCCTGGCGGTTCAAACCCACCAACCACTCCTCAGAAGGAAGGTTGGGCAATCTACTTCCGTAGTGATACCCTCTCGGAAACCCAAGGGAGGGGTCGCTATGAGTCGGGGCCAACTCCCGGCACCTAACAACAACGTTAACATAGTTGCTAGGCGAAGATGATCTTGAGATGTCCAGAGCTCAGTTACTAAACACATACACACATTCATATTGTTTGTTTAATTTGTGTTTGCATTTTAAAGGACCTCTTCAGGGCAGGAGGTTTTTAAATTTTCAACAGGCTTAGGAATTTCTCGGAGCCAGGAGATTGTAATGTGTCATTCATTGGCTTTGCATGACACCTATTTAGTGAACCTGTTGGAGAAATAAAAATTCAGTCTTTAAACCAAGGAAGAAAGAACATACGGTTTCACGTAGCTATTTAAGTCCCAATAATCCTTTTTAAGCACATCCCGAACCAAACCACTAACTGATTTATTTATTGGGGAGAGGCTGTATTTGTTTTCTTTCCAGGTTAAAAGTTCTGAAATAAGATCCTTGAGGAGGAGGAGAAAAGAGAAAATAACAGTGCCTCTGTGATGGTAGTGCAGTCAGGGAATGGGCTTTAACTGCTGATATTCAGTCCCTCACAGCATCCCCATTCCTTCCAAGCAACACAACTGCAGATTAAATGAGATGGGGGAGATTCAGATCACTTGTAAGTAATAATGATTTGACTACACAGAGCTTCATTATTTAAAGGGTATTTTCCACACACTCTGTGCACTTTCTTGAAAATACCTGGAAGCCCAAATTAACTATATGCCACCCCAAGTCAGTGTTTCTGAGTCCTGGTGGTCAAGTTTCTCACTGGTGTGTCTAGAACAGCCTGGTTTTCTCCTCATTTCCTCTCCCTTTCAACTCATAGTTACCTAAATTCAAACTCAGCCAGAGATAATCTGTGTTTTGTAGTCCTGGCCTCTGATCTGATTTTATGGTGAAGGATCCTATAGCACTATCAACCTGTCTTCATTACTTCCCTGGTAGGTGGCCACGGACATTTACAAACTTGCAAGCAAGTTTTAAAGGGTTGAGAAACAAACTAATGATAAGAATGACATCTGCACAGTAACTTTTGGTAAGAGCTTCTCCCTAACATAAATTTTTAAGCGAGTTCATTTGAATGATGAAACTGCACAAATTAAGGGGTCTTAGTGTTTTCATCTATATGACCACAGTTGTACCATATCACAGCATTGCTATGCAATCATTTTATAAAATATCGCTAGTTCCTCATTTTAAAATAACGTGGACTGATTCACTAATCCGAAGAAGTTCTATTTTCCTAATCACCCAAATAGGGTGCTTAGGTAATTTAGTTTTTAATATACATCCTTCCTGGCAAAAGGAGACTTCTGTCACAAACTTTCTGTGTAGTATCTTTTTCTGTGTGAGTTTGCTCAAATTGCAAAAAGTGTTACATATTTTCACAAAAGAATTGCAAAATGTAGCAATTTGTTTTAGACAAATAATAACTCTCAAATGTTTTGTTTACTTTGCTAATTAGTTGGAGCTTTTACTTGTGAATAAAAGCAGCAGGTTTTTCTTATTTTACTAATAGTTGGTTAAGTCATTTAGTTTAAATTTTACCAAAGGAAAGTTGATGTTTTTGGATCTACTGTCAATTTTTTTTTTTTGAACTCTTGACTAACTTATTAACTTATTAAGGTTACACAAGTCAATGGCATCACTAGGCTTGCTGTCACCCAGTGCAGTAACTCATGGTATTAAATTACTCCATGGACCTCCTCCTGTACCAGAGCATATAGAATCCTTGTTGTTATGTGCCGTTGAGTCGGACCTGACTCATAGCGACCCCTCCTTGGGTTTCCAAGGCAGTATCACTACGGAAGTAAAAATTGCCCCATCTTCCTTCTGAGGAGTGGCTGGTGGTTTTGAACTGCCAGCCTTCTGGTTAGCAGTCAAGTGCCTTAGGCACTATGCTACCAGAGCTCCTAAGCAGTGTTTATTATCAATTTTAATCACAGAATAATATGTGATAAATATAGTTGTAAATTGTTTACATGCAATATCTCTTAGAGTATAGCAATACTAACCACATTGTTTTGTAAAATCTATATTGAATTACATTATTAGTAACTGAGAGGAAACCTTTTTTGATTTTTCTCTTTTTTCCTTAATTACTACTTCATTCTCAAAAAGATTATTCATATAGGCTCACTAATACTAATCACTGCAATACACATATGCAGACAAAACCACACGATTCGAAGAGTCATTGTAATTGGGTAATAATGATAGCTCTAACCCACAAGATTCAAAAAGTAAATTAGCATAGACTTTTAGCCTTATAGGTATATTTATACATATAAGCTGAGTTTATGAAAAATGTTTTTGTTGTTATAACTAACGACAGGGATATTTTATTTTTTGAAAAATGATCGATTTCTGCTGAAACATTGCACAAAAATTTTATAGACAGTCATTTTGGTATCAGTCCCTCTGACGTGTTACTCAGTGTGGTCTACACCCCCTGTACTTACTTCCCTAGTGACACCACTATATTATAAATGTAGACTAGTGTGGTTATTATTTCTAGCAAGTTTATTTTTAATATCTAATGGGAAAGGTTTAACGAATTAACTGCTATGTTTTCAAACAATACCATATGGTACAAAATAAAAAGCAAAAATTTCACTCTACTCTTTATTACCCTCTCCTGAGGCAACCATTTTTGAATATCTTTATTTTTATCTCTTTTGATTGATTTAGTTACATTGATAGTCTTTCTCATAATCCATAATCTACATTCCTCGACAATTAGAAACCTTAAATTGATTCCAGTGTAGAACCTTCATTCATTTATGTTTTAGCATATGCATAGAATGAAAAGTCCATTGTTAGGGTATATGCAATAGTGTTTCTCAAATAAAAACTAGTTTTTATCCCTAAAGGTGATGGCCTGTTTGTGAAAGTAAAACATAGAAGCTGCTCATTTAGTTTTACTCTGTTTTTCTTTTTAGTTACAATTATTCAATATGTTTCCACTGACTGAGGAAAACAAATGTGTAGCCTGGTTGTTGCTCAATGCTGGCAGCTGTCCAAGATGTATCTTCAGATTCTGTGGTGTAGATTTTCATGCGCCTTACAAACTTCCATACAAGGTATTTTCATTTGTTTTTTAAGTTAAAAAAAGTTTCTCTATATTTTCACATGAATACTTGTATATTTGAAGATAAGTATCTATCCATAAGGAGCCCTAGTGGTGCAGTGGCTAAGCACTTAGCTATTAACCCATAGATTGATGGTTGGAACCCACCATCTGCTCTGTGGAAGAAAGATGTGTTAGTCTGGTTCCATGAAGATTTACTGCCTTAGAAACTATGAGGCAGTTCTACTCTGTCATATAGTTTTGCTATGACCCAAAATCAACTCCATAACTCTTCATTTAACTTTTTTAAAACTATAATAAAATGGTTACTGAAATGGAATTTCATTTTGGAATTACCATTACCTTAAAAATTAATCTCAGAATTGCAAGTTCCTTATTAAGTGATTATGTTTAATATTTAACGTAGGGGAATCTTTTTGGGACAATTCCATAGTGCACTTTATGTTTGTATAGACCTATCCTAATGGATATCTAAACAGACTATAACAAAAGAGTATGCCTCACTAGATGGTATTAAACTGGAACAGGAGAGGTAATGATCATGAGATCTCTTAAGGGGAAGCATAATTTTAAACCTGATTCTTAAGAACTACTGATTATGGGCTAGGTTACCTTTTTTCTTTTGTCTGTTCTCTGTATTACCATTTGTATTAACAGATTGATTGGCATTAAGGTAACTGGAATCCTCTTGAAGTAAATGCTCATCACCATCATTATTACTGCTATTATTAACAACAAAAGTACAGGTAGTCCCCAGGTTATGAACTAGATCCATTGCTAACTATATCTTTAAGATTTTGTAGGTAAGTCAGAACAGGTGCCTCTGGTTCTTGTTTAGCCTGCCTTTAGTGTAAGAAAAAAAGGAGCTCTGGTGGTACAGTGCCTAAGGCATTTGACTGCTAATCAGAAGGTTGGTGGTTCAAACCCACCAGCCACTCTGTAGAAGGACGACTGGGCAATCTAATTCTATAAAAATTTATCACCTTAGAAACCCAATGGGGATCACTGTAAGTTGAGTCAATTCAATGGTGGTGAGTTTGATTTTTGGCTTTAGTGTAAGAAAAGGCTAAAGCATTTTCTGATTTAAAAGCTGCACATGCAGCAAGTAGAGGTGATTATGATGAGGAATTTGTAGCTGTGAGTTGTAACTGACTCGATGGCAATGGTTCTTTTTTTGTTTTGTTTAGGGGTTCAATCATTTTAAATGAGGGCAAATTTACATAACATTAAAGGGCAAGTACAAGGTGTCATAACTCATACATTTGGCACTTAGGGACTTCCTGTACGCAGTTTCTCATAATTAAAAAAAAATCCCCAGGAGTTAGTGATACTGAGTTGTTCCTATTATTTTGGAAATAATAATAATATCCACTATTCAGCTAGCATTACTACATGCCAGGCTTTCATCTAATCCTCGCAATAACCTATTAGGTAAGTACGTACTTTCATTGTCTCTTATTTGCAATGAAGAAACTGAGGCTTAGAAGAATTAAGCACCCTGCCTAAAGTTACACACCTTTGAAAACTGCAAAGGGTGGTACATATGCTATGAAGATTAATATATATGTGTATATTTATCTATGCATAATATGACTCTAAGTAATAAGAATGGTTTTGTGTAACTCACATTTTTTTTCAGACACATTACCATCTATAATTCTATATGTAAGTTGTAAGATTTAAAATATACATTATATAAAGAGACTAAGTGTTACCAACTTTTGGTTGTGTCATTTTATATAAATATATACAAAAAAATCTGAAGACCATTTTTGTATAAATGTTCATAAATTTTTATCTATTCTATTCATAGTAGTATACATATACATAGTAGTATACATATACACATACATACACTGTGTTATGCTGACATTGTAGACCTTAGGTAATAATATACCTATGTGTGTGAGTCATAATATACCTGTATATACATGTCTCTATGAATATTCCTCTTAAAAATAGGAGCTACTGTCTCAATAAAATGAATTGAATTTGTTTGAGCAAATGGTGTTTTTCATTTTAGCTCAGTAAATTGTAATCGGAATGAATTTCAAAAGGATATTCATTCAGCAACTGAATATAAAACCTGTCTAATTTAGACAAGACCTGGGTGGTGCAGGCAAAGTCTTCTGAGTATCTAGATAAATGGAATATCTGAACTACAAGAATGGTTTCAGAGAAATGCCAGTTTTTGCCTTCTAATACAAGGAGTGATAGAAATTAGGCAACCAGAATATAGTAAAAGGCTTCTTTCATTAATGCATAAAATTGATTTGTAATTATGGTGCTAGATTTTGACATTGCCAGTAACTGCTTACCTTTGTTTAGTAAATTGTCTCCTTGAAATTATTTTTACTTAATAGACTTTCCTAATCTGTTTCATTATTGAGATGTCATATTAAATAAACATAAGGTTTTAGTGATTATAAGATTATCAAATAACCCAGAGGATAGAAATTCAGTTTGTATTTTTATATTAATAATTAGAATTGAAATTTAAGTTTCTACTGAAATTAGAAACAGAACTACAAACCAGATGAATACATTTGCTAATGGAGTTTTTCTGTTCCAGATGTAGAATTTTATCTTCACTGACATATGAAACTCTCTCTCTCTATATATATATATGTGTATATTATATATATATTTACACATATAGGAGTTAGATAATTATCTTTAAGACTCCCTATAAAGCCAATAGGAGCCTGGTGGCACAGTGGTTAAGCTCTTGGCTGCTAACGAAAAGTTGGTGGTTCAAACCCACTAGCTGCTTCACAGGAGAAAGATATGACAGTCTGCTTCCATAAAGATTACAGCCTTAGAAACCCTGTGAGGCAGTTCTACTTTGTCTATAGTGTCTATTAGGAGTCATCAACTCCATGGCAATGGGTTTTGGTATGAAGCTAATACTCGCTAATAAATTAATTGCTCCAGAAATTATGTAAATCAATATTGTACAACTCTGTAATCTATCATAATTTTCACTCATGTTTTCAAGCTTCACTTTGCCTGGAGAACTTTAAGAGTATTGTCAAAAAGTGTTGTTATTACTGTTTGTTTTATTAATTTTCCAGGAATTGCTCAATGAACTACAGAAATTCCTGGAAACTGAAAAAGATACATTAATTTTAGAAGTTCCAAACCCACCACTCAAGAAAATTCGACTACAAGAATTGGAAGATGGGATTGATAATCTGAGTCAAAATGGAGAGGGAAGGATTTCCGTTATTGAAGATGGAAGCATTGCTTCCAAGAACTCAAATTTAAATGTATGCAATATATGCCTAGGAATTCTTCAAGAATTCTGTGAAAAAGAGTTCATTAAAAAGGTAAGTAATGTTTTCTTTTTATTATATGTGCAATTATGTAGAAGTTATTGTATTAGCCTTAAGGCCTAGAATTATTGTATAGAAAGGAACAATGCCATTCATTTAATTTTGTTTCATACTAATGTATCATTAAAATGGTTTCTTAAAATTTTTTAAAACAGAAGCTCACTCTTCTCAAATCATCTTTTTAGCAATATGATGCCTCAGAATTGATGATATATGTACCCATGTAGTTCAGTGATGAGCACTAGTCAATGGAAGAAAAATTGAGCAGTTTGTTTTCCATTTACTGTTTAATGTAGTTAAGGAGTTAGAGAAAATGTCTTTCTTAGTCCTATCAATCAGTATCTAGAAAATACCAGTGTTAGAGTCTTATAGAAGGGAACAATTGAATGTGGGCTTGCCTTTTGTTCCCAGCTGTCAAGAGTGCCATATTTGGTTTTATTTTATTTAAAAACATTTTACAATTATGATGTGACATTCAACAGATTATTCTGCTGGTAGTGTCAGTCCTCTCTGTTTTGGTACATCACAATAGCAGTCATCAGGGTCATAGTTAATATTTAATTTCAGGATGTTTGTGAGAGTTCCATACTTAAATCTGAAAATTTGGACTTTTTGCCATGTCATTTGGACCATCATGTTATGAAGGTGAAAGGATTCAGCAATCTCTAGTAATTTATATGATTGTAATACTTTCTTTAGGTGTGCCAGAAAGTTGAGGCCTCTGGGTTTGAATTTACCAGCTTGGTACTTTCAGTCTCCTTCCCACCACAGCTATCTGTAAGAGAGGTAAGGTCATTTGCATGCATAAAACTATATGCAAAATCCACACTAGGAATTTCCCAGAAAATGAGGATGTAGAAATAGTCTTTCCCATAATATTATTGTTATTATTTTATATATTATATACTAATTGAATGATTAGAAGCAATTTATAGTTGTTAAATAAATAAATGCTGAGTGAATGAGTGAACAGAGGTATCTCTACGGAAGTAGATTGCCCAGTCTTCCCTTTGAGGAGTGGCTGGTGGGTTTGAACTGCCAGCTTTATGGTTAGCAGTCAAATGCCTTTGGTACTGCACTACCAGAGCTCTCAATTGAATGATTAGAAGCAATTTACAGTTGTTCAATAAATACTTGCTGAGTGAATGAGTGAACAGAGGAATTATTGGTTCAAGTCAGTTTTTTCATCATCACAGGACTGCCATATTTTTAAAGGTTCAATAGCAGATCTTTGTTGAGATTTGTTATATGCTAGGCATGTTGGTCAGAAGAAGAGATTTGACCAGGACTCCAGAGACTTCTGAAGCAGATAGATACATTTTATAATGGTCCTAGGGTAGGGTCATTTCAATTATGATAAACCGTATTCTCTGAAGTAAAATATAAAAAGGTGGTACCTCTTTTTGTCAATGACAAAAGGGAGAGAAGTAGCCTTGTATTTATTTTAATTTTGAGCTTTTGCAGCTTTGCCACATCATTTTTCCTGTGTTAAATGGAAGACTAGTAATCACTACTGTAACATTCTTGGGTGCCAAAACTGACCTGAAAACATAAAATTATCTTTTTTTTAATACTGTTAAGTGAAGTACAGTGAGTATGACCTTGCAATCTCAAATTTTAAGTATGGATTCTAAATATATCCATTTATACTGATAAGATGTCTTTTCCCCAAGGATCCCAAAGCATCACTGGAACATTATATCTTATACCATCGCTTTCTCTGGGTGAGCATGTTTATTAGCCTTACAAAGGCTGAAGATTGATTTAAGACTTGTTGAAGATGAATGGAATGATAGAGAAGAACTGCGAAGTGAACAGAGTAGAATGATTTTAAGTAGTATCTGTGTTGATGACAAGAAAACTGAGCAGTAGAAGCATAAAGGGGATGATGATGATATGCTGAGGTTCAAAAACACTTAGAGTCATTTTCTAGTCAGTCATCGAAGTATTTCTCAGTGGTAGGTCAGCTTCAGGGTTCCATTTTGTTAGAGACAAATACTTCCAAAAGCAAGTGACTCACAAGAAGTCATAGTGTTGGAGTGACAAAAATAGGAATAAGTATATTTTCTAAATATTGGTTATATATCTTACTGCAAAAACGGCAAGGAGGCCACATGTTCTGACCTCCTATAATCTCACAAGAGGAAGACAGGATTACCAGCAGTAACCCAAGGCCTATTACTGCAAGGCCAAACATGTTGCCTCCCTCCAGCCCTTTCACCAACCGTTCCTCCCAAAGCACCCACCACCTCTCTCCTGGGTTC